TGATACAGAAACAACAGTGATATAGAAATGGTCAGTTCAGATGAAGGTTTAAGAGATGATAATGGCAATAAATGAAGTTATTATTATTTAGGAAATGCCAGACACTTATCACAGCCAAAAAAGGAAGATTATAAAACAAAATATAAGATGTAATAGTACAGTTTCAAAGAACAGCTAATATTTCCAAATCTTCTTCCCAGCAATTTATGCATCTTCTATAATTTAGAGACTTGACAAGTTATATATGGGAATTCAGGTCATCAGTTCTATAGGATTCCATCTTGTCAATAATTTCTAGGATTGTCTTTCATAGATATGTTCCATAGAGCTCCACAGATACATTTATTATCATTTTTAAAAATATTCTTCAGTTGTAGATGAATGCCTTAATTTTATTTATTTATTTTTATGTGGTGCTAAGAATCAAACCCAGTGCCTACTATATGCTAGGCAAGTGCTCTACCACTGAGCCAAAATCCCAGCCCATTTATTATCATTTTTGAAACGCAGAAATTATCTTTATATTGTTTTTTATTTTGCTATGTAAGTTATTATTCTTTAGACAACTTGCTAAATTCTGTTTGAAACACAAGCAAATTTATCTTTTCCATACTTAGAGTGACTAGGTATATATTTCATAGCTACTAGCAGCAATTATTGTTGAATAGGAGCCTATCCAAAGAATTGTTGACAACTAAAGTTACTGAAGCTTTTGTGGCCAAAGTCAAATCCAATAATACTGTGTTTATTTGCTTTTCGCCAATTGTTAGGCCATATCCCATCACAGTCTAACAATCCAAAAGAGAATATTGCCAAATCATTGGCCAGTTTTCAGAATGGCTAACCCTTTTCTTGCGATGGAGCTAACAATGCTCAATGATATCCATGGAAGACATGATTTCTCTTGGATCAGTGGTTTATGACAATTAAGGATTTTTTCTATTTACTATTGTGAAAGGAACAAAATTTTTTATTAATTAGATATCAAAAGAAAGAAGATTATCTTGAAGGATTGGGCTCTCTGTTCCACATCTGTCTTTCAGGGCAGTTGATGGACACCCAGCACACTGCTGCCATCTCTCATACAGCACTTCAATTCCCAACTAAAACAGCAGTATTATTTTTGTCAGGTGTGGAATGATTGACTCTGTCTGCTGATGATTCAATAATTATCTAGATTCACCCTCTGTATCTGTCTCAACAGAAGTAGAAGCATTGACTATTCTTTCCAGTTCCTTTATGATGTTATCAATTTTGTCCTCTGTAGAGAACACAAATGTACTTTTTGAAGGGACATTTTATGCTTTTAGTATACTTACTATTTGCTCAAGTTAGGTTCCAATTTTATCACTGAGAAATCTACCCAAAGGCTAAATGTGGAAGCACCAGAAAGAACAAGTAGAGAGAAAAGGGTTTTGCCTCCTGGTTAGGAGCAGTGTGCAATTCCTTAGGACCAGTTCTTTGGTAACAGATGTTTTCCCTCAAGAGTCAGAAATAAGGTCCAACTTTTCTTAGCCTTTCATGAGTTCCCCCATCTACACAATTAATTCTTGCTCATATGTCTAAAAATATAAGTCTTATTTCTGGTCAGTTCCTTGGTACATGCTTTCTGCAGTGTGTTCATTGTAAACTAAATTTGAATTATTTGATAAGATGACACTATAACTAAGGTAAGACTGAAGTAAGTGAAATCTTCACAATCCAGGGTAGCTTTAGTAATTTTTCAAGTTCCTTAAAGATATGAGACATAGTAATCACATCTACCTCTCCAAACACTTCCCTCTTCACCTCCCCACTCTTCCTCCACCTATCCCAGCCTAACTTCTTCTAGAAGCAAGAACATACAACCAGATCTTTCCCCTCTCCTGCTAATGCCAATCCATATTTACCAATATCACATTCCTAAGGACTGATGATATGGCTTAGTGGTAAAGCACTTGCCTAGCATGCACAAGTCCCTGGATTCAATTCTCAGAACTCTACCAAAATAGTTTTATGTGAGAGCTGTGCTTCTGTTTGTAGAACTAAGCATCTCTCTAAGTGCTATTAACATCCCAAGTCATTTCCCTTTCATTCAAAGAAATCTTTTGAGAATGGATTGGGATTTTCTTATGGTAACAAAGAACAATTAATGTTTTATATAGCTGGCATCTTACTTTTCATACAAAAGGGTTTTTTATCTATGATATTAAAATATATATCATGGACCCCTAAAGAAGTTCAACACCAGTTAAAAATTTTAAGGCATAAAAATATGAAAAATGATATTTAAAATTTAATTCTGATATTCACTAGTTACACAAGTCTGGCACATCAGAATCTAGTAGACAATCCAATTATCTTTAACTCTCATTTCAACAAAAACAAGAAAGGAAAATCTTTTGTTCATTTGTTCATTCATTCGTTAATTATTGAAGGTGCTAAACAATCCAGATTTTGGAATTTCAAGTTTCTCATCCTCTTGAGTTATTTTAAACAAATTCTCCTAGGCATTTCCCTTGTATCTATCTTTCCTAATAGAATAGCTTCAATAGCACCTTGTGAACTTGCATGTTCATGTATAGACATTCACTCTTAAAATGAGTAGGGCTGCCTCTTAGATAATAGGAAATAGCTATCAGAATTATCTTCTGTAAATTATTCTCCACAGATTCTTCATTGAATTATCTCATTCTGTATCTTAGTATTTCCTATATACAAAATTATCTTAGCCTACTTAATTTTGAAGAAACCTTATTAACTCCTTTTCCAATTAGATAGCAGGGCGATTTGACAATGATTTAGGGTTTGCTTAAAGAAATTCTGATGAAGATTTCTCTTTCCAGGAGAATTTACCATCTCAAAAAAGTATACTACATATATAGACTTGTAAAAAGCTTGAAGGTGAATATTATTTACATAATGTAAGTCATGTCTTTTTAATACATTGATATTGTGACATTCTAATGTATAATGACATACAATAACTTTTTTCCTTTCTTTTTACTGTTGAACTAGTGTTAGAGGAGAAATGAATTACCAAAATAGCATTATGATACTCAAAGTTACCAAATTGTATTTCAAACTATAGAATACTTCTAGTATTTTGGGTATGTATGTATGTACACATATATATGTACATGTATGTATTTTAAGAAATTTTAACACAAAATAAAATTTACATGTATGAATACATTCTAATTGAAAATATTTTTGACGCCAAATAATCATACATCTTATTCATTTTCCACTAAATTTTACATCCTACTGTTCACTTTTTCATTATTTGGTAAAACATTCAAAAGGAATTAGAGTATAGAAGAGTTCTACAGTTTATTACTACCATTTGAAATTAGATCTGGCAACAAATCTTGTCATTGAGATAATATTCACTTTCATCTCATTCATTGTGGGTGATAGTTATACAATGGCTACTTACATTTCTTTACATTCATGCAATATGCTCTGTGGTTGAGGACAGACTAGGCTATAAGAACTAGAAGGTATGTTGGAGAACATATCCCATGTTTTACAGATGAAATTAGAAAAACTGAAAAGTCATTCACAGAAGGGCACAGGAACCATGTGTTATAACTTCCATCTGAGCTCTGGCTTTCTACCAGATTCCATTATCCATTAAATCTCAATATTTTTTAAATAAACTGATGATAAACCAAATTTTATTGCTCACATAGAAATGAATATCCATAAAACTTCCTCTGAATAGTCATTTCCTTAACTAAACTTCAGTATAATCAGAACAATCTTCTAGAATTAACATGATACCTTTGTTAATAGCAATAATAATAACAAAACCATAATTGTTCACAGCCCATCAAAATGGCCTTAACATTCTGTATCAATTATAGTTAAAGATCCTCTTGTTTTCATATTGTAAGCATAATTCTCCCAAATTCTCATTTGTTTATTGATTAGTTTAGAAGTCTAAAAGACATTTAGTAAAAAGGAAACAAAAGTTTTAAGTAATTACTATGAGTCTGGCACTGTGCTAGGCACATGATCACACCACCATCCTCATGCATTATTTTTTTCAACTGACTTTAACACACCTAACATGTATAATATTAACATTTTTCAAGTCCTGATAATACCACCAAAGCTAATTTTCAGTGAGGAATTTAAAATCCATAAGGTAAATGTTGAAGTATGGTTTACAATATTTTCAATATTTTATTGAAATTGGTTATTAATCATAAAAATTCAATCCTGAAAAAAGATTCAATCCTGATATTTTAATATGAAAATAACAACTTATTCTTAGGGAAAATGTAAGGCTTTTCAATTATAAATGATGAAAATAATATCTATTTCAACTTTTATTTACTGACATTTCTGTTTCTCTTAAAACAACATAGAGCTTATATGACACAGTAGATTTACATAAAGAAAATGTCAGAAAGAAACTATTTTTATGCCTAGATGGATAAGTAAGCAATCTAACACTAACTCATTATAACATGAATGCATGAGGATGCCACAGATTCCCTTCAGTTTTGCAATTATACACAACTGAACAAAAATGCATTTTTGAACACAGATTAAGTATTCTGCATCATGGAAATATTCTTTCAAAGAAAACTATAAAAATAAATAAATTCTCTCTTTCTCAAACTGGTGATTCGTACTTTGGTAAGCATTTACATAGAAGTATGTGAAAACTCTTAAAAAGCTTTGCTAGGGAAAAAAATCACATTTCAATGTGAATGATACTATTTACATCTTGCTTAACTTAAGAGCATTTTAAGGACATGGAGTATGTGTTTTACAGTTGACTTATTTATGAGTTTCAACTATAGTATTAGTAAACTTGCTCTGTTCCAAGATATATTTTTAGGAACATGGTTCACACAATCCTAATTTACAGAAATTAGAAAGCAATATTGCATTTAATTATTATTTCACAAGTAAAGGAAACTGAGAAAGCTTATCACCTGAAAATTTATCCTTTAACACATTGTCAAGGGCTATAAACAGCACTTTAAATAAAGGACATTACTTACTGTAATTGTTCTTCATCTCTTGGGTCCCTTTTACTTTGCCTCGTTTATCAATCCTCAGATACCACTGTGTTCGACAGAAAAGTCTTCTCACTCTTATATCCCCTCCTTCCATGTAATCATAACTTCTGGTATGTCGCTCGGGACTGGAGCAGTTCACATTTGTGGCCATTTGCTCTGGAGTCATGTCATTGCAAGCTAAAGATAAAGTGCCCACTAGACAGATAATGTGAAAGCATGATGTGTAGAGCAAGGTTGGCAGGATCCATGTCAGTATCCATTTGTGCATTATAGTGTAGTGCTCCGGGTGTTCATGAATAACATAATGAAAAGTAAAATCCTGAGTTGATTGTTACTCCTAGGTCATTGACCTCTTCCTATCTGTTAATTATATAGACTTATTTAAGAAAGAGTAGTTGCTCTTTCCAAATTGTTACCCTTATCCTTTTAGTTTCTGATAACAATACAGGATCCTCCTTAAATAACTCTGTGTTGATAAATCCTTATAAAAACAGGTTGTAATATGCCCAGTTGCTGTGGTGCTGTTTGCTACTTGACTTCTGTTTGCAATGAGAGATTAAGAATGGGGAGGGAAGGAGAAAGGAAGATAAAAAAAATCGTGTTATAAATTTCAGAGAGTAAATAGGATTATAGCATGCAGTTTAGTTTATACTTTGAAGATACATTTAAGACAGATTTAATAGAGAGTGTCAACAGCTTTACCACTCTATATGCAGATTTATAAAAGTTATATATGAATAGAAACAAATCAGAACATGACTAGACCATTCATTTCAGTCACTATTTTATAAGAAACACTCTGCAACCAGAGTTATTGATTTAAATCAAGTTCTGCAATTACTGTTAACAAAGTATAAAGGCTTTTCCTGCATTTCTTCATTATATGCTTTTACATTTATGATTAATCAATAATTTTCTCCTGAACTGCCCACATTTTTCAAGTTAAATGTCAGGATTTCTCTGGAGAGCTTCAACTTTATGTAAGTTCTACAACATAATAACTATAGATATTTTTTACATGGTTCAAAAATCTGGTAACTTTTACCTTCCCCCTCAATACCGTAACCAGAGAAAGAGATAAAGTTCTAGAAAACATTCAGAATTGTTTTTAAAGACAAATAACAGTAACTTACTTGTTCTGTTTATAACAGCTGGATACACAAGAATTCCATGTCTGTTGTCTGCCTTGTGCAACTTGAGCCTCTCTACTGTAGCTACAAACTATTTCTCAGCTGAGAAATCCTCCAGCAGAATCATAATTGTTTCCATAAATCAACAGGCAAGAGGATTTTCTCTGTGTGTGTGAGCGCGTGTGTGCTTGTGTGTGTGGAGCCTTTTATTCAGGGCTTTTCGATAAATACCTTTGCTGACCTCATTGGAAGCAATTAAAACTTAACCAGTGAGCTGTTAGTTGAATGCAACAGCAAGAATAGAAGGAGGCTTGTATAATATTCAATGGTCATGAGAGGGAGCTATGAACGTGCTTAAATCTACAAGTGGGTATCTACTTTGTAGAAACAGATCTCTGATTCTGAAGCAGTTAGGAGGGGAAAGGAAAATGTAGACCTTCTTTACAGCACAGCATTTACATAGATTTYGGAAAATATTTCCTTGAACATATATGAAAGGGGTTTTGACTAGTTACAAAATCTTTTCTACAGCTTTATGATGTATATATTTCTTCAATTACTCTTTTGTGTTCAAATGTCAGAACAAAACTAATGTGTGTTAACTCCAATCTTAGTCTCTTAAAACATTCTGTTGTTGAGCTAAGGGTTTATCTTTGCACACAGAGATCATTCAATATTGCATATGAGTATAATTTTTATTTTCCTAGCCTGAAAACAAGAAGCCCTAGTTTCTTATTTGACTCAGGCTACTTAAAATAAGTATGACCTTGGGCAAGTCACTTGACATTCCTGAGTCTCAAATGCTGCTACATTTGTAAAATTAAAGTATTAATCTAAATGATCCAGTGGTGCTTTGCACTCTTAAAATTCTGTATCCTGTGATTTATACCAATGGCTAATATAAGGAAGAGCAATTTCAAAAATTATTATTATTAAAATTAAAAGTAAAGAAAATGGTTTTACCTTGGTATCAGTGTTTGACTTTTGCCTCAATGAGAACTTTAGCCTAATAAAAAATATCATTTGGGGGATGGAATTATAAAACCTATAGCTGACGTAAATAACAGAAATCTATTATACTTTTCAAAATGAGTTGTTCTCTTTATTTCCTGTTCTAAGAGTATATATGGCAGAGTCCAAATGTTTTATTAGATATTTGGTTAGAGTAATTGCATTGTCAGTCTAACTCAGTGTTTAGGAATGTATATTAAAATTCTTCCTATGTTATACACACACACACACACACACACACACACACACACACACACACACACACTTACTTCTGTACTTAAAATGCACAACTTTACCACCAGGTGGTGCATGTAGACCAAATAGGGGGAAAAAAAGAAATCAAGTTTATTCAATTGGATTATGGTTTGTGTTTTCCTACATGTCTATGCTTTTAGAGAATAGAATCAATAGCACAAAATATTTTAAATAACCCTAGTTACCATTTATTTATGAAATATTGAAAGTGCTAAATTTTTAAGCAGAGCAGGTGGGCTCTTCTATAATTAGGTCTGTTGAAAACAAGAGGGCTCAAAACATTCTGTCATCCCTCTGAGAGCAGAAGAGGAATGAAAGTATGAGACTATTGTGTTCTGAATTACATCCCACTAATTTTGGAGCCAACAGTAATGAACAGGGTCAGAATTCCTAGGACTTGGATATTTCTTCCAAAGAAATGAAAAGTTATTAACAGTCAGTACCCAATTTAAATATACTCAAGAACTACTAAGTTCATCTGTTCTACACTGTTCCTACAGACTTTAAACCAAAAAAATTAATTTATTAGAAGTCAATATTTGCTAACTAAATGCTTAAGATTTAAATAAAAGAAGTGGATAGTTTGCTCCTGAAGAGTGCTTAGTGCCACCTTAAAAATCTGCTGTACAGAATTGACTATAGAACCAGAAACAAAGAATAAAATTGTAAGTGAAACATTAGATATTATTATATTCCAATTTGGAAATAGGATCTAAGTAATAATAAACGGATCAATTTCAACAAGGAAATCATATGAGGAATTTGAGTTCCTTGATTATCAGTTTCTTAGTTGGAGAATAATTACCTCAAGATAGGTGCAATACCTGTTTCCCTGGTATCACAGCTATAATCCACTTATGCCCAGATTATACCTACATTCAAGAGGGATTCTCCAAGAACTAATAACTTTAGTTATCTCCAGGTGGAGTAACCCTCTTGGGTTTTATTTCCATTTTGATTTTAGGAAAGAATATATGAAAATGAAGAGAATTTATTTCTGTGAATATCATGAAAATAGACAGTTGTCTATTTAAGCAACTGCCTTTATATCTTTTATTCCATGAAGAAATAAATGATACCTTTTGTTTCATGTATTATGAGATTCAGTAATTAATTGTAAAATGGTGCATCTTTCATAATTATTCATAATATAATCAATAGAAAGGAAAATAATTAAACATTTTCATTTCTTTGCATTCTTACATCCTATCTTGTTGCCCACCCTCCTAGTTTCCATCTTTTCTCCAAAATACAGATAGCCATTATTAGTTTTTTTTAACTTTACCTCTTTTTATACAGAAGGTAGCATGCCATACATATTGTTCTTCATGTCACTTTTTCATTAAAATAGAGAGTCTTCCCATTTCAGTATTCAAGAAGATCCCTTGATTTTTTATAGCTGCGTAGTATTCCCTTAAGTGGGTTTATCCCAGTGTATTTAACCAGCCTCCACTGATGAACATTTAATTTTTAAAGTACTAATCTCTTACCAAAAATGCTACAATGAACAAATATGTCACTTTATAGTGTACAAATACATCTTCAAAATCAATTTTCAGCATTGGACCATCTGAGCCAAAAGAGGTGTGGAGGGGGGCGGGGAGAAAGAGAGAGAGAGAGACAGAGAGAGAGAGAGAGAGAGAGAGAGAGACAGAGACAGAGACAGAAAATTTTGATATTGCCAACTTATAGTCCATGAAGGGTTTGCTAGTTTTTTAATCCCACTAACAATACCTAAAAGTAAACACCCATTTGCTCAACAGTATATTGCCAAAATACGGGATTTTGCTAAACCAATAAGTGAGAATGGCATTTCATTCTTATGAGACAAAGTGACCATGATGTATGCGCACCATAAAGACAAGATAAATGGTGCTGTAAATGTCTGCAATAAGTGGCACAAGAGGTTTCCCTGGAAAATGTCAGCAGAGCTACAATTCAAAGCATGAGTGGGAATGAACAAGGTGAAGAGGTATTCGTGAATGTAGAAAAACCGTGTGTCACATAAATGACAGCATACTCTTTTCAACAATAAGAAACCAGCATGCCCCCAGTAGAGAGAAGAAGGCCCATGGTACATGAAGAGAATGGAGAGGCAGGTGGGATCTCTGTGGGCCATGTGAAGGAGATTGACTTATAGTCTAGGAGCAAAGGGAAGTTATTATGATATGTTAAGTTTAAGTGTGGCCTGATGAGAATTTCACTCTGTCTCTGTTCTGGTCAAAACTTAATTCCTACTGGCAGAATAAGCTTATGACATATTAAATTCTATTCATTCATCCTGTTTTTTCTGTTCTTCATATTATGGAAAAGATAGCCAAATTTTGTAATTGGAAGGGCAAGGTTGTGGGGAAAAGTCATGTTTCCTCACTTGAATAAAATTGAAATCATTTTAAAAATTCATACTAAATGCCCTAAAAATAAGGGAAGCATAAGAATATTTTTGAGAGGCAGCACAATAAAATTAGAGTCCCATGAACTGGGGAGCACAGAGAAAAGTCTATAGACTCCCTACTTGGGAAGCCATGTTCCTGTATTTCTAGTAGCATCATACACCAGAGAAAGCAAAACTCCAGATAACAAAGACCGTCTCCTGTGTCTAAAGAGAGAGGCCCATAATCATCCCTTGAAATATTTCTCATGTTTAAATAAAAAAATCAGGAAACATCATAGAACGCAGTCCTGAAGGAACTGTGTAAATAGTCATTAAACACCCCAGAAATAACCAGGGTAAGCCAAATGACTCAATGATCAAAGCCCTTGCCTTGGCCTTGCATAAAATCCTTGAGACCCATGAGTAAAAGAGGTTGAGTTTTCCATCAACCTGAGGTGGGGGTGGAATTCTCAAAATTGAAGCTAGGTTGATTTATATTTATAAATATAAATTTATGTTCTTCCTTACATATCTGAAGGATATGTCCAAGATTTATTTCTGCTACATTCCTACAGCTGTCCTCAGACTATTAATTTATCTTTATCTTTTCTCTTGTCCTTTCCATTCTATAAATTCAGCCTCAACTCTGGATCATACCATATAACCAATTCTACTTATCTCCTTGATTCATCTATTTAACAAATATTTATCAAATAGCTACTTACTACCAGATGTTGTGTTAGCCATCTGAGATACAATAGTGATCTTTCCAAAAGTGACCTCTGCCCTCACAGAGTCTGCCGTCCAGTGAGAGAACAAACATGAACAAATGGGTCTGGGCATGGTGGGGATAATGGGGTAGTTGAAGATCTTGTGTTTGAAGAATGGAAAGGAGGTCAACAGGAATGAAGTATATGGACAGTGGGGAAAGAGGTAGGCATGGACTTGATCATTAAGAACTTAACATGATAGGAACTTGGGTTTATTCTAAGAAATAGGAAACTGGAGTATAGGTATGTCTTTTCAAACCTGATTTACCTAGTCAAAGACAATAATTTAAACTCAGGAGTACAATCCCCAAAGGAATTAAGCAAAGCTGAGGTCCCTATAAACCCTTAATTATGTAAACTTTGTGCTCACCCATGGCATAATGCCCTAACATTTAAAAACTAACTGTATATAAAGATGTGCAGTCTGACTCATATGCTCAAAATTGTGGTGTGCCTGTGACTCAACTATGTAAATATCTCAGTTTACAAATGTTATTTGATTCTTTGAATTTCTGAGTTTATAAAACATTTTGTTTTATTTAATTTATACTTATAAAAGTTCTGTGAAATACTAATCTAAATTTAAAGCTCTTCAAATTACATTTTTTTAATTTACTGAATTACGGTCCAAGTTTATAGCTGGAGCAAGTTCTCTCATTAGCAAGCTCCTAGGTTTTGCAAAGGATTATTATTTAATTTCTATTCTTTGTAAGTTTCTATAAAGTGAATGTGAGATATAAATGTAAGAATATAGAGAAAAGAACTGAGAAATAT